GAAAAGAAAAGAAAAGAAAAGAAAAGAAAAGAAAAGAAAAGAAAAGAAAAGAAAAGAAAAGAAAAGCAGAGCTGTTGTTGCCCTTTAAGGGCAACAGAGGAAAATGAACCCTTCTGTAGCCTAGAATCTAGGCTAGGAAGGGGGACTAGGGTATCCATTTCCATGGGCCATTACAGCAGCCTTGTTCATCTGCCAGCCTCATCCAACCAAACATGTTGCAGATGCAGTTGGACCACAACTCCCAGAATTCCATACTGGACCTCCCAACACAGGTTGAGCAAGGCTGGCAAATGCTAGCTTGTTGGCTGAATCCTATAGAAGCCCACCAATGTAATGAAGGTGGCCTCCTCCTGTGACTTATATTTAATCCAGGCGTGCATGTCTTCTTGAATAATATGCACAGAGTCTTGGGGTTTCATGTGACTCCATCCTCAGGCTGCAATCAATAATGACAAATGACAGGGATGCAACAGAACAAACTACTACGCTATTAATATATCAAAGAGGGGTTTAGAAGGGTAGATTGATATTTTTCACAGAGCTTTGGAAAAAGGCTTTGAGTAACACCTTTCTTTTTTTTTGGTCCCAATTTCATCACTGGCTCAAAATGATTTAGAATATGACTGCAAAATCTGCTTCAAAAATGGGATGGGTATTCCCATTCTGCGTAGCAAATCCTTTTTCAAACCACCTTGAATTCTCTGACAAACAGCAGTTGACCCTATTTTTGAAGATCATCAGTGGCTACGTGTTGGTTAAGCTGGCAAAACAGTGTTCTTTTTCTTTTTTTTAGGTGATAGGTAGGCGAGAAAAAAAACTACTCCCTGCTTGAACAAGAAAACGGGATGGGGAAAGAACTTAGATTCTTGGGAAATCACGGGAAAGGGAGTGGCTCAAGTCTTTGGAAAATGACGGGGGAAAGTTGGCTCAGATCCTAGGAAGAGATATGAATGGGAAGGAAGGTGATGGTACATGTGGAAATGGAAGGCAGCAGTTAAGGAATGAGGGAGAAGTCAAATCAATGTTTGTTTTTATTTATTAATTTATTTTCAATTTTCCCTTGCTGCTATTTTGAGCTTACTGAAAAGGCTCTTGATGGGGTTGCTGGTTTCTTTGACCCCCTGTTCCAGCTCTTGAAAGCTTCCCTGGCTGCTGACACCTCCCAGTCTAATGAAGCCCCTGGGTACTGTTCCTTCATGTTATCTTGTCACAAAATGTAGGAGAAGAGAAGATGGTAGAATGAAAGGCAATACTTTCACACCTTGGCTGCCTAATCACTAAGTAAGAAGAGCACCACATCTGTCAGAACTGCACCAAAATTCTCTTCATCCTTAAATACATTTTAGGTCAAATGCTCTGCTCTCAAATTGAATAGGAACTGCTAGGGGAAAAGATGGAAGAGAATTCTTCTGCACGGCGCTGGTGAAAAGCAAAGAGGAGTCAAGAAAAGCAAAGCCAAGTCAAGTAGTAAAAGAGGCTGGGTTATTCTAGGGCCGTGTTCTAAGATTGAGGACTTCAACTCATGCTGGCTGGGGAATTCTGGGAGTTGAAGTCCACACATCTTGCTAAGTTTTAGAAACACTGTTCTGGGGAATTGACTGATTGTATTTATATAGCCACCCATCTCTCATAAAGTGATTCTGGGTGGAATGAAGTCCCATCCAGGCTCCTGCCTAGAAGAGTCAAATAAACCTCTAGCAATGCCTCCACCTCCTTTCAGTTCCGATTGCAATCCAGCATAAACCAAAGGACCTGCAGTGATGAAATGATGGTTTGCTCAGACCGTCTCCCTTCTCCACCCACCCCTTTAGCCACAGACACAATGGACAGGCAGCTGGGCGAGCTGGCCCCCTGGAAGCCACGGGTGGCATGGAATGGAGGCATGTAAGGCTGAGTGGGCCCCATGTGGGGTGGAATGGGGTCGATGGGACGGGCAGGTGAGCCAAACCCACAACAACACATAGTCCATACCCAGGAGAGTTACGTGAGCCGTGCCTGCAAAGCAAGAGAAAACAAAGCAGGTTTGTAACGTTGGTTGAAGGCAGCGGACCCAGTTGCCCTAGGTCCAGGGACTGCTGCATCTGGGGTCAAAACTGGGGGGGAGGGAAAGCGAGCAAGCCTTTTTCTAGTTATCTTTCAAGATGGCTACGGGTTGGGCGCAATTGTGGCAGGGGAGAGGCGTTCGCAGGATCAAAGCCTTTCCTCGAAACGAAGAAAGCCACATTGCGCCACGGGAATGTGAGCTCCCCCTCGTTGTACTGCAATGTCGTAACGCACGTACGAAAGGGGCAGAAAAATAACAGGAGGTTAATCATTTTGAACCCTATCATACAAACATCACTGCACTGATGTCTGCCTTGAAATAATACAAGGTATCATGATGGATAACATTACAATAAAAAAGAAAACGAGGAAAAACAAAAGGGGGGGGGCAGAACTTGCATCACAACCCTGCCACACTGCTTTGGTCATTTGTCCTCCTTCTGTGGAGGCCTCCATGCCAGGGGCAGAAGGTCTTCAGGGAACAAAGATCCCAGTTTCTGAACACTGAAAATCTTGCACAGCTTCTGCCTCGCTTCGGGGTTTCAGCAGATCTTGCCGAAACCTGTCCGAACGTATCATTTCCTTGCTGGAGGCTAGGAATTGTTTTGTTGAATTGTAAGTGGAAATTCTCAGAAAGAGAATGGATCTGGCCCCCTATCCTAAACTTTTTACATGCCCTGGCAAGCATGGGGCTCATGTTCATGCTTCGTTGTTATGCAGGTATGGGAATTGTTCCGCTGCAAAACTGGAATATTTTGTTCGACGGAAGGAAGGGGGAACCCACCCCACTGAGTGCAAAGAACTGGAATTCTGACCCTATCCTATAGACCAGTGTTTCTCAACCTCGGCGGCTTTAAGATGTGTGGACTTCAACTCCCA